CTCTCTCTCTCTCTCTCTCTCTCTCTCTCTCTCTCTCTCTCTCTCTCTCTCTCTCTCTCTCATACCACTCAGTGTTATTCAAAACAATATATTCAAATGAAGCTGAATCGAGTTGTAGCTTTTGTGTGTGCATTATTGGATGGATGTTTTTTGTATATTGAAATGAAAATTGAAAAAAAACTTCAAAACAATGCATGGTGCTTCTAGTGAAAATGAGTTTGAAGTGCGCATCTATATTGTACACTAGATGTGATAACGAATTTTTTGACAAAATCAAATGACAAATTTCTATTATCTATTTATAAAAATGTTATTACTTTCACACAACCATAATGGCAGAAAGTTTTAAATGGTTTCAAATTTGTATCAAGTACAGCAATTTTTATCAGCTATATCCTTTTTAGAGGAAAAATACCACAAAAATATCAATAGTGGCAACGAGTGGCAGTAACACCAACGAAAACAAAACATACATCAGGCTTTATGTTGCCAAGTTAAAGTAGATGCTCAAAATTTATTTTTATGATAATAAATCCAATTATTTCATTTTCATGTATATGATCCGTATAAAGCGTATGAGCAATAGTTAAAAATAATTTTGCCAACGAAAAGTTTGGCTCCATATGAAAATACTGAAAATTTGAATCCAACGTCAGTGTACGTATCAAGAGCATAACAATGCGTTCTACCCTAGCCCGACAGACTCAAATAACGGTTGATACTAAGCTGGAATTTAGAGTATCATAAAAATGAAATAAACAACCGTAATCATGATTTGTATGCTTTATACTAAAACTCAATGAGGAAATACACAGAAACCAATTGAAAATGTTTGGATCGTACCAAATATTATGATTGCAATTTTTTCTCGTCTCTAATTGTCGTTGTCCAGAACAACGGGTCCAGCTTTTGACTCAATAAATTTCCGGTTATTTTGATAACTGGAATCCTCTTTCAAAAATACTCGACACTCGCTTGTGTTGCGAAAGTTTTGTGTAAAAAAACAAAAGAGCCAGAATGAAATGGCAAACCAATTTTTCTCCATTTTTTTTTTCATTTCATTAACCGTTGTCTACAAATCTTAATTGTTTTATTCAAATACCCCTGGATATAACTGTACGATGTGTTGTGGCGTTGGAAATAGAATATATATCCTGGAAAAAAGACAACCAAAAACAATTATATTAATGAAAATTAAATAAAAATTAAATTTATACATTCCTGCAATGAAATGGATGAATGAGCACGAATGGTATGGTTTGTCTTTTCAATGTTAGTGTCTACACGCCCACAAGTACGTTAACTTTTTCTAACCCTTTTTGACCATGTTCAGGTTTTGTTGTTTGGCCTTTTATGAAATATTAAAATAAAATTTTTCACCGTAATTTATTTTCCTTTGCGCATTTCATTCTCATTTCATCTGTTTTCATGTTTCCATAGATACACGGTCGAGTACTTTAGTTCGGATTTACAGACTGGTTGGGTGGTTGCTGCTCATCGTTTTCCCGGTCATACAATTACCGTAAGTATTATTTATTGTGCTTTCATAAAAACTTTTGCACACACAGAGAGAAAGGCACACACAAAGTCTCCGTCATAAACACTTTCACACACACACCGACCCCTGCGGCAATGAAATGCCAAAATGAACACTACGGTATCTTGGTGTGCTGACGACATAAACATACCCACTGGCTAAAAAGTTGGAAAGCTTGTTAATTTTAAATTTAATACTTTCGCGCGATGAAAAAAAAAATGTACAGAAATTGTGTGTGCATGAAATGTGACGAAAATCAACAGAAACCGCATACAGTGTGATTTTTTTGTTGTTGATATTGATAATTCTCTTAAATGTAATTTCACTTGTAGATTGGTGAACTCAAGCCAGCCACATCGTACATATTTTTGGTTCGAGCGGAAAATTCGCATGGATTATCGATTCCGTCAACCGTATCGTCTGTGGTAAAAACTTTGGGAGCAGAAAACGGCGTCATACCACAATCAGAACTATCAGCTGCCCGTAACGTCCTCAGTGGCAAGGTAAGCTCATTTCGAATTTAACCACATATATATATGCAAAGACACATTTTCAACATACTTTAAATATTTCAATAAAAACAAAAAGTTCTCCATTTTGTACTGTGTACACTTGCATACACACTCACATACATATTTACGAAAACAATGTTCACAACCAAATCAAGCACATGCTCAAGTGTATGCTGTGCATTTGAATTGTCCGGTGTTGAAATGAAATTTAGCAGAAAATGAATTGAAAACAGAATGTGATTTCGGATTAAACAAGGTCAAAGTATGGGAGTATGTCGCATCGACAAATACTCATCAGACTAAAACTTTTCGAAAATTTTGAAATTCAGAACTGGCATGACTAGTCAAAGTTCAATTGATATAAACCATAAGGAAATTTAAATTAGAAGTAGTTATGGCATTAGGATGTAAATGAGATCTGGTATTTGGGGATTTCAAATATGTTTACATAATTGATGCATTTTAAAGTTGATTAAGAACTCAACTTTATGCAGTATCAAATGATTTTTAGTTTTATATAAATAATTGAGAGTTCAAAAATATAAATGCAATGAAAGTTTTTATCAATGCAATTCAAATATTTAATCAATTTGAAATTCGTTTACATATATCTAATTTGAACTTATATAAGTATTATTAATAAGAACATAAAATGAAATTTTGAATAAAAATTCTATTCTCTTCAATATTTTCGCTCTTCATTTCAATTCAACAATAAAAGTTCGAATTTCCATTGCGTTCAATGTGATTTGGAAGTCATTTGAAGCTTCAGAAGTGAATGTCTCCATTGAAAGATTGACTTCATTGGAATTTTCGTCGTTTGCTTTGAAATGAAGACGTTTGACTTCGTTCAACCACTGATTGGCCGATAATGTTGTCTCACGGATCGATTTCACATCTAATGATTGGAATACGTCTTGGAAATTGAATGTCACTGCTTCTGAATATTGACTGTCTTCGTCCTTCGCCAGAATATGCTCAAAGCGAATCAAAACCGAATTCGATGTCCATGGTTCGAATGTAAGCAAATGAATATTTTTGGGCAACGAATGTGACAGGCCAGAAAACTAAAAGAAAAACCAATTTTTTTCATCGGAAATTGCTTATAAGTGTTAATGGATTCTTTTCTCTCAAAAGCACTTACAACATTTTTGTATGTATTTCTCCACTTATCGGAGCTCAGACCACTCGCATTGCTAAAGAATGGCCAACTTGGCAATAATGTTTGTAATTGTATAAAACGCTCATTAGCTTCGGTCGATGTTGTGTCTGTATGTTTCGGGCCAAGAACAAAGTAGCTGGTGCCTCGTGCAATTAATCCTTTTCCATAAGCAAATTCATTCAGTGCTTCGTTCACACCAAAAGCATCATCGTTCAATAATCGACGATGGACCTGCATTGACAAATGTCATTTTTATAGAGTCTTGTTACAACATTTCTTATGTTTTAATGATCTTAATATTACCATTAATTCGAGTGATCCATCAGTCAAACTGCTTCCACCTTGTGCACGGTCGGTTAAAATAGCGAAACGACGAGTCGTGTCTTCAATGGCGATTTTTGCTGTAACTGGATAGTAATTTCCAGATATACTTTCCAACAGTGTTAGGTTCCATGTGTCACGATGGTTACGCACTCGTTTCAACATTTCTCGTCCATTTGAATCGGTATAGAAAATACCATTTGATTCGATATCAGTGTCGAATCTGGTAACAATTTCTCGCCCAACAAGATCGTCAACCGGAATTGAACCAACGAGCCATTGGAATTCCGCATAATTTTCGGTTTTATAAATTCGAATCACTTGACTTAACCATTCACTGAAAGTCTATGGATAAAAAACAAATCAGCGCTTAATCGAGATAAAAATTGAATTGATGAAATTTCACCTGATGAACTTCATCCACTAAATTTCCTCTTATAATCTGAATTTCCGCACGTGAAGCGATTTCATATGCTTTGTCAATGGGCCTGAATACATAGGCCCCTGATGATCGATTTTTGTATTCTCTATTATTACCTTGGAAACCTTCATAAATATAAAAGTTTTGGCGAACTTTCATTTCGACGGTTTCAGTTGCAACTGACTCCAATAAACCATTTTCATCGAACGTTAAATTTAAATATTTATTTCCAATCGTGAATGGACCATCTTTTTTACCTTCATTTTCATTCACGAAAACCGATTCCTTTGCGTTGGTTATGGGCTTTTTCTGAACAAAATACGACTTATAACCGAGCGGCGGCAATTCATCAGCCAAAAAAACTAACTCTGATTTGGCACTACTTTGTCGGAAGGATAATGATTTCACTCCATTTGGAATGGATACTAATTGTGAGGTGACAGGAACATTTTTGTAGTCTAGCACCTCATACTCGCCATCGATGATTGGAACACGAACGTATTGAACTGTTGAATGAGCCAATGGATTGTAAAGCGTTACCAGGAATTTGTCATTATTTTCGGTGACATAACATGAACTGATGTTCAAATTGTCACATCTTTCATATTCAAGTCGAATATTTGCGTCTTTAAATTTCGATTTTTCGTCATCGATAGACAATTGATTAAGCGATTCTTGAATGTTCTCATCGCATTTCTCAAACCCAATATGAAGTAAGCGTGCATAATCGTCAGCGACATGCTGTTTTTCTGTACCAGTTACCGCATCGTGATGCTGCATTATACCCATTACCTCTCGCAAATTGTCCAGATTCGCTTCGAATATTTCCGATTTATTTTGAGCAAACACGCTCAACTGTTTACAGATCTAAAGTGAATTGAATAAATTGTATTGAATAATTTAAATTTGAAAATGTAATAATAAAATTTACTTGTAAATAGTGATTGCCAAGGCGTTCATATCGCTTAAGAGTTGGCCTTGATGTGAAATAACCCGTCCAAAACGCGTGTGGATCTGATGAATATGGAAAAAAGTCATCACTCTTTGTTGGCAACAATATTTCGGTATCGTACAACGCCTTCAAATAACAAGATGGCGTTGAGTAAAATGCATTCACTTTTAATCCACTGGCTTGACGTTCGTTGATATGCCTTTATTTTCAAACAAGTTTTGAATGATTCAATGAAATAAGAAAATCAATTATTAATATTTTTGGCGCCAGAAACAATGGTGATGAAATATGAACGGTAATCGGTTCGGATTGAACGATAAAATGTGTGTTTGAAACTCACAGAATAAGTTTGTCTAGATTTTGAAACCATGACGGTGCGTGTTGATAATGAAAGTCTTCTCCCATTGTGATCAAAACATTATTGGACTGATATCCACGCGACTGCTTATCAACATACGCCAAAAAATCGCGAACCTTATCGAATAAATTTTAATTACAAAATTTGTATGCAAAATTAAATGAAAATGAAACAAATATATTCAAAAATTATAATTGATAAAAAAACAAATCAATTTGCATGGTTAGAGTCGAGTAAATGTACCTTTTCGTCAACATTATATTCAGGACTATTTTTATCATCAACGATTGGATCTACAAAATATTTAAAATGTCTTCGATGTGAAAAGTAAAATGTGAATGTCAAAAAAATGTATTACCATCTTCACATAAGATATCGAAGCAAAATCCCGGTGGCGGTGCGTAGATATTGTACAAAACTCCAGTAAACAAGTCTGCTTTTGATCCTAAGTTATCACTTGCATGCCAAACCATTTCCATATTACGTGTTGCAGATCGATTTTTTATATCTTGGTAATCTAAACGGCCTAAAAATAAGCCATCATATGCCATTTGTGCCAACAATGAAGCCTGCAATATTACAAAAACGGAAACATTATTTTAAATATGTAAAGTTTGGATATTAATTTACTCGACATATTCAATACCCACCAATTCTCTTGAATGTCCAAATGGATCGATTTGCCAGCCAATTTTCGGTCGGCCGCATTCACCGAACGTATCATTCAATTTTCTGTTATTTTGTCAAAACCATCATACATTTTATGAAATTTCTATTATTTTTTTTGTAAATTCTATCGATGCGCTTTTAAACATGTTTTTTTTTTAATTACCGAAGTCCCCATGTGAATTGATCAACAGTGCTATGATAGTGCGTGGCCGCTTCATCGTTCATAGACCATGCACCGCCAATAAATTCCAGTCGTCCTTCGTTTACCAATTGTTTGACCTGTTCTTTCAATTGTTCAGTTTGTTGGTCCCACCATTTAAAGAAAAACGCCGATTCAACATAAATAAAACGCCTTTCGGGATCTGTTAACAGTTCTGCAACTACTGAATCCAGAATATTTTGAACACTTGCTATTTGATACGTTTTTTTATTGCCATAGTAATATTGATCGACAGTTTTTAACCATCCAACGTCGTCATGAGTATGAGCCACAATGTGCACATTTAACATGTCTGCCTTTGGTTTCGGGCAACCCTATGAAAAGATTTTTTTTCTTCAGCCAGCATTGATTGTAACTAATCACAAATTTTAAGTATTTCGAAAGTTTCTTCAATGTACTTACATCATATCCACATTTTCTAGATTGAAATTCTTGCTTAAGGAATGCAGTTTCTGATTCTCGAAGAAATACCAATATCAAGATAAAGTTGATAAATAGTATTAAAGACATTTCTTTGTCTTTTTAATTCAAACACTTTCAAAATCTGAAACGATTTCAAAATATAATCACAAAAATAAATTGAAAAAATTGTCCAAACAATTGGATGAAATTGGAAATATTGATTTTGATTCCGAAATTATGTGCAAATTATAAATGAAAACTTCTTTCTTTCAAGAATGTTTGACAACAACTGATAGTGGAGTGCAGGAAGTATACTTTTTATATGTCAAATGAAGAGGCAAAAGAATAATAAAGTGCGATAAGCGAATACACAAGTTAATTTACATGACAAAAAAATGTCTATATACAAACACAAAAGTACAGACATCAGTGTACATGCTATAAAAAATAAACTGAAATAATACACACAGATAATTCTGGTGATATCTGTTATCACCTAAAAATACATACATTAAAAGTTTCAGTAGTAAACGATGTGTTTATGATGTATTGCTTTCGTTAATTCAGGACAAATTGGTTCGATATGACCTTTATCTATTCTTAGTCAAAAATTCACTCTTTCTCAGTCAAAAATGCATATTTTTGAACAATGTTATTGCATCACGTGAATGTAACGAGATCAAGCGATGGTTATTCAAATATACAACATGACAAAAGTTCGGGCAAAAGCAAATTATGAAAACATTGCAATTTTCATTGCAAAAAAACCAAAATCCAAAAATAACCACACTTTATGAAGTTTGACAGTACGTTCGACATTCAATTTCGAAATAATAATATAAATAAAAAAAATTATTTGAAATTCGATAGTTTTTTTTGCATAATTTAAATATTATTTTACAAAACCAAAAAAATTTCGAATAGTTTATTTACCTTAATAGTTATGACACAAATCAAATAGAAAGAGAAACTAATCTAGATTACGCGTTTAAGTCAGAATCGTACCTCTCAAAGGAGAATGAAATTCATAATTAAGATGTTCCTCTTTTTGTCTTTTATACACATATTGATGAATAACAGCTATTAGTTTTGATCAAATGATTGTTAACAATAATCTGCTTCGAAATTTTTATGCGTAGATATGAGCACTGTTCAAGTTTTATAATATTTGAAGAATAACAATACTTTTACTAATAACAATAAATCAATAATTATCATATCATAATTTTGATGACCGCGAAACTAGGCCGATTCAAGTCACAAAGATAAGATGTAAATCCGAATAAAAAAAAGATCAATAAAATGTTATATTATTTTAAAAGTAAATTGAATAAATTGCGCAAATATAATTCATTTATAAAATCACTATCTAATCATGGATTTTATATTTATTGAGTATGAGTTATTCTAGTTTGAAAGCCTTTTCCAAACTAAAAGTGTGATATCTCCATAAAAATCAAAGAAATGTCAAAAACACGATAGTAAAACTAATAAAGTAACTTCATAAAATTCAATTGGGAAACCATCTTGAATAAATGGAACACTATGATTTTTTTCAAATAGACAAAATATTCAAGTAAACTAACTCTTCAGCCATTAAAAATAAGCGATATTTTCTAAATGTACCGAATTTCGTTTAATATATGCAGCCCTGATACTGGGCCTTCTGTATTCCACCATCTGTCTGCTTGTTTTGTATGAAATTCCACATTACTTGCATCTACCGTTGAATTCGTTTGCATATTATTTTCTGAAAAGAAAAAAATTAATCAAAATCGTCATAAGTTTTTTAGAACAAACAAATTGTTTACACTGGCTTTGTGTGAAAGTTTTTAGTTTTACAAACTTCGAATACTAAAACTAAAAAAATATCTACCTTAATAATTCAGATATAAATCATAAATCATAAAAAAGAAAAATTTATCAAGGCCTTGGGAATTATTATTTTCGTAATTATGGATCGTACGTCTTCAAAAAGAATGAAATCATAGATAAGATGTTGATGTTCCTTTTCATAAAGGATTCTAATGACGTTTTTAAATCATAAAGTTTTTTTTACAAAAATATTGATTAAAATAAGAAAAGAAACAATTTGGTTGTAATTTCTTACTACTGGGTGCTAGTTCTACTAGTTGTTCTCTTTTGCAAACCGAGCACACGACGAGGAAGATATCTTTTGAAATTGGCTTGCCATTTCAAAGACCTTATTATTTCTGTGTTTTATTCTTGTCACTTTGAATGCGTTTTACCAACTTGTATTTCGTGATTGAACAACATTCAGTAAATAAGTGGAATTGAATGAGATTTTTCTCACCGATATTTAACCACGAAATGCTTGTTAATTACATATAATTAGGAATTGCAATGATTTTTTCGTGTTTGCTGAATGTTTTGCATTTTTTCATATGATTTTATGTATAAGAGTGCCAGTTTAGTATCCAGAAAAATTTCAGTTTTTTGTTGATTTCCATTCACGGGAAGTAACAAAATGAAAAAATCCAATTCAGTTACCATCACTTCAACACTTTAACCGCATTGCATTGAAGAGTGTAGTTGTCGCTCGCATCGTTTTCTTACAATAGAAAAGTCTTACAATATGTGCCTTTGATGCTATACACAAAGAGAAAAATGTGAAGAAAGAGGAGGAGAAAGAGACATGAAAATATTCCGTCGTCCACAAACTATTATCCCAACATTTTACTATACGAAAGCTTTGTGGCGCAGCAATCAAAACCAAACACAGACAAAACTAACACATATAATCCAAATTTGTGGCTGTAGCCTATGTTATTCTTTTTATTTCGTACAAAGCAGATACTAAGAGGCAGACTTGCACGTTAATTTCGCTTTTTTGTAATTAAAAAAAATATATAAAGCAATTAAAATCTGTGTAAAGTTGTTAAAATTGAAACGTTTCTTTTGCTCTATCGCTCTTTTTCATTGCCATTCTGACGATGTACTCCTTCCGTTCGGATTTGCAAGGCATAAAGATTTAAGTATACAGACACGTTTATGAAGCCTTTCTTTACCAAGCCTCTCAAGAAGATAACCATTAAATATGCATTTTTTACGCTATTCACTCTCTCTCTCCCCCTCCTTGATGTTTGGTCAAATCGTATATTCGTTACCATTCTTGTAAACGGTTAATTTAAAGACGAGAAAAAAAATAGAATGAGATGAGAAAAAAACACAACAAAATAGAAAGAAATTGCTTAATGAGTGTGTTTATGCGCGTACGCTCAACGTTTTCAACGGCTCATGTTGGGGAACATAGAACAAAAAAAAAACATTAAAAAATAAAGCGAGATTCACTCACATTTCCTCTAAAGCAGCGAGAAGGGTATTTAAGAAGCAAGAATAACCAAGAGCTTTAATTCTCATTGTTCAGAATCTTAGACATTTTTCCGTTTCTTTTAGAGTTTTCAAGAGTGTTGATTTTCTCTCTTCTTTTCGCTTTTCTTTATCTTTCCATCTCACTCGTTTTTTATTCGACCGAGGACGACGATTGTAAAGTACCTCTTATAGAGCTAAAATAAATGAGAAGAAAGGAGATAGATGTGTGTGTGCACGTTCATTTCCGCAATTCACCTGGTCCACATGGCAATTATCCAAGTGAATCGTGGTGGAAAAAATACAAGCACCCAACGAGTGAGAGAAAATGAGATTGTAAATTGTGAATTAATTGTATTTATGTGCACATTTTCCACGAGATATATATATATATACATGTATTAACATTACGTATATTGTAACACTTGATGTGCTAACGAAACGTTTTAATTGTTCATCGTTGAAGAATCAGCATTTTGCATTAAAAATGATGAAGAAAAGAAAAGGTGAGCGAGAGGATGGAGGTGAAAAAGAAGAACAAAGTGAAAAAAAAACACACACAGTGACTGGCACCATACTCCCTCCTCCAAACGAAAGTATGTTAGCAATCATGAGAGAAAAGTCTGCGGCAGCTAGAGTTATTGAAACTTATAAATCTACAGCTTACACCCTGTTCGCTTTTTTTTTAATTGCAATAATATTATCTGCATTCCGAAAATTCATAAAAAAGTGATTAAACTTTGGATAAAAATTGGTGAACGATTGCTGAACTGTACAACATTCACCGATTTAGATACATTGTCATGATATGCATTGAATGTAACTGAATTGCAACAATTGCATTTTTCGTGCAAACATTTTATCGTGAAATTTTCAGCTTAACCATCGAGTGTTTGTGTGTGTGTGCGTTCAAGAGCTTTATATGAATTTTCGTGCAGCATAATGAAATCAAGTTGAGCCAAAAAGGTGCACCTTTGGTTTTATTATGGTCATTGGCCATTCTGGTCTCTAATGTTTGCCAAAAATTCCATAATTTAGTGCTGCAAAATATGTGTTGCAGCTACTGCATTCAATGTGCTTCATGTAATCCCCGTTCGATGTGTATGGTGAAAAAAGCTAATTTCAATTTGTTTCATGTAACTCGGTCGCTTTTATTTGTGTGGTTTTCAATCCGTTTATCGATCATGCACTTTTACCGTTCGTAAAATGTTTTGTCGGGCGAAGGAACATAGTTGTTGCTATTTGGTTTAATCACAATATATTGCATTTTGAAGCTGTTACAACAATTCGACGCACAAAATCCAGAAAATGAATATCGAAGCCGAAAATTCAATGAGACGATTGATTGAACAACAATCCATACCATTTCGAAAAATACCGTACACACAGAGAGACTACATTAAAGTTTGAACTTCGAAGAGTAGGTATTTTTTCTTGTTTAACCAAAAAAAACCGACTTCAGTTGATCTGAAAAGCTATTTTGCAACATGATCCCATTGAACACGAACATTGTTTGGTTGAGCCGATTCTGTATTAGGTCGAGGTTTGATTTTCAAACATAAAACCACACACAACGCATCAATGTCTCGTCCTGTTTACATAGCACAAGCTTTAGATCCCCCACTCTTTGTCTCTGTTTCTCTGTATGCAACAACGAACGCAACAAAAGTCAATATTTACAAAGCTTAACTTTTCACATTTAATATATATTGCTTTCTCCCATTTACTTTGTGCTGCCACCCTGTTGCCTTTTGTACCGTTTCAGTAATGGACATTCCGAGAACAAAGCAATGAACGATCCACCAATGTGGATCAACTACAACGAGATAGCAAGATTACATATTATAGTTGATTATGATATATTGGACAAGGGGGTTCTGTTCAATCAAAATATTAATCGTGATGATTAATGCCTCCGTCATTTGCAGTTTTGATGTGCATTAAATTTATTGTAAGCTGCACTTTTCCATAGATTGCACACTCATTTTGGTTTATTGTGAATTATGGAATAGATATTAGTGTTCATATTTGACACGGAGTTATTTTGGGGCTGTACAAACTAAAATTCATTTTTGAATTATTTTATTTTAAGTTAAAAACAGCTTTTTCTTCAAAACAGTCATGTTTCAGTAAAATTTATTTCAAAGAAAAATTTTAATGCCCAAAAAAATGACCATCTATGACCTGCTACGCTCAAATCACTACAGTTATCCTTATTGTTACCGTTTCTATTTTAAATGCGTACATCGATACATAGTGTACATTGTGATTTGGGTTTGGACATCGTTTGAAAGAGAATAAGGCCCCTGTTCAATTGTGTTTGTCTACACAGGATGTAATTTACGACATGTCTTTTCTTTATCCAAACTTTATTCGAATGGTGCACACATATTTCGATCGAATGACATATGCACGCATAGATACGATGATCCAACGTTAAAAGGCGACACTATGTCAAAAAGAACAAATAAAATGTACAGTGATGAGATCGAAAGTGTCCCTTATAATTATTGGAAGGCACACATGCCGTGAACAAACCGCTTGCTGAAGAATTTAAATTAAATTCACTTAAACGCTAAACCAATCAACTAACAACAACACGAATACATCAAGGTTTATTGAAATCCTATTGAAATGGGCGTCACATAGTCTTGCCGTGACATGTGGGCTTCGAATAAGCTTGCTCAGTATTTGGTTATTTCAATGAAAACATTTTTATTAGAAAAAAAGAAATGTCTGTCAAAAAAGCCATCGCTGAGTAATTATTTCACAAATTAAACATGTTCAAAATGAATTTCTTGTACATTAAAATGAGTATGATATGAAATGTACACATCCATGTTTTTTTTTGCTGTCTCAAAACAATTTTAATTGAGTTTTATAATCGCGTCGAGTGCCAAGGTTTTGTATTTACAACTATATTTACAATCATAACATTTAAATCGGCATCCTTTTGTTCATTTTCTTTTTATTGTTCCAACTGCCTGCTCGAAACCTGATCTCTTTTTTTCTATCTGATGTTTACAAATAAGAAATAACAAAGTGAATGCAAAATCATATTATGTACTTTTCGCATCGTTGGAAAAGAATACAAATTCCAGGCGTGCATATTTTATTCATTACGATTCCACTAGAGTTACGTACTAAAAAAACAACAACTACAAATTTTAAACACAAATTGCATGCATATAAGAGAAATAATTGCGTGACATACGAACAAAAACCTGTGTTTTCACTTCGATGAAAAATGCTTACCATGCAAGTGGAAATTATAGAATAAAAAAGTGGCACAGGCAATGTACAATCATACTGGATGGAAGAACACCGGCACCAAATGAGATGCCCCAGAGAGAATGAGAAAATGTCGAACGAACGAAGAAGAAAAAAAATACAACAAAAGCAGCCACGCAAACAGATTATTCGTTTCAATGTTGTTTACCACACAGAATATTTTATGAATTTTCATTTCGATTTGCATTCAAAATGGTTGAGAAAAGGCAAGAGAAAAGGAACGAAAAGCGAGAGACAGAGCGAGAGTGAGAGAGCCAGACATTGTTGGCACGTACAATCAGAGTAACAATATTAAGCAGCTCGAACAACGCAAAAAAGCTACAACACAAAATTATGACTAGTTTGTAGATAATAATGAACATTTTACACTCATTTACTTAGCAATTTGCTCAGCAATAGAAACTCTGAGAGAAAAAAAGAGCACAAGGATTTGGTGGCAAAACGGCTTGTTACATCATTTTCATTACGCATGCAATTCATCTGTAGTTTTCTCCAACAGATTTTCGCCTTGACTTCTCCAATATTATTTCTGTTTCTCTCGCTCACTCGTTTTGCTCGGCAGTCTTCGCTTTATTCATCAGAGTTCTCCGTTTCACGTTAAATATTTAATGCACAAGAAATGAATTTTGTTGATGCAGCTGCTCTTGGCGTTACATTGTGTGCTTTAATGAAATCGAAAAAAGCACTTGCTTTCCATCGACGTTTTTCACCATCTTCGGTTTTTTCTTTTCCAAAAAAAAAACTTACCATTTACTATTTTCCCGAAGAAAATTTCATGGTAGCTGTTTTTTTTCACTCTTTTTCGCTTCTTTTCTATGTTTCGTTACTGCTGATCTCACTTGACTGCATTTTTACTTTCCAATTCTTAGCTTCCGCCAGTTCTTAAATCACATTTCATCTGTTGTTTTTCACCAAACTTTCTATCAAATGCATTACCAGTTGTTGAGAACAAAAAAACAACAATATATATGAGTCAAAGCGAATGTTGAAACGGAAACAACACAGCAATAATGTAATAATGCAGAGAGCATGACATTTTAAGAGAATATGATAGAGAAAAGATGAGCAGGAGAAAAAAAAACATTCACATACACATTCAAAATGTAAAACTTCCGTTTTATTGGGATGCAAAGTGCATCAAACTGAGTTATTTTTGCATGTTTTATAGCAAAACTTGATTTCTTTCATATTTTCTTCTGTCATTTTGCTTGATGCTGTGCTTGATTTTATCGTTGCTATCGTTTTGCGAGAACGCCACACTGACATTCGTATCAAAATCTAAGCGAATAAACTCGAAAGCACTTTACAAAATTATAATTGCAATGCAAAATAGTTTGCAAAAGAAAATGGGGTGAATATGTGTGTATACTCACATTCAATATTAAATGACAATCTTGAAATGTGAATTCACTTTTCGGAATCTTCGAAGTGGAAAAGACAAAATGAACGCTTTAAAATGGCATTTGATAAACTGTTTTTCAATAGCCGAAACAAGTGAAATACACTAAATTGAATTCATACATTTTACGTTTATCCGCAATAGTTCAATGAATATTTATGAACTTTCTCCACACTGTAATCGTATCTGTTAGTGCTGCATTTTGCAAAGATTTGACTGCAATGGAAAAAAAGTTTTTCAAAAAGAAAAAGAGTATCGGTTTGTCTGGAGAAAAGATAGTAATATGGAGAAACATTGACCAGTCTGTAATGATTGAGCAAAAAACGAATGGATATAAAATAAGTAAGCTACTCGACGCCATGAGTGAAAAATATTTTTTCACATAGTCAAATATTTCACTTAAAATGCACAGCGTGTCAGAATAATTTTTCATACTTTTTTTTTTAATTTGAAGATTTTATTTTGAAGATAGTACATTACATTTGACATGTAAACAAATCTTTTTTTTAAGTTGTGCATTTTGTAAGCATCGTAAATGCTTTTGCATGCTACGCATTATGCTCCGTAATAAGGTATAATATCGCCAAATACGTTATTCCTCATTCCTCATACAATGTTCTTTCAATAATCTGGTTTTTTCGTGGATTAGTTCTCTTTGTTCCTGTTCGTACCAATATTAGAGTAAGAAATGTTTCATCAGAATTTGATTTAAAAGAAAAGGGTAATAGCTTACTTCTGGTAATTGTTCATTCAATTGGTTCCATTCGAGGTAATAAATCTTTATAGCCTTCATGGCACATTCCCTAAAATTAAAGACACAAAATTGAAACCATGTCAAAATTAATTCATCGAATTTTTGTCAAATATACTACTTACTGTCTCTCATCTTGATCTTGAAGTCTCATACATTTAGCGCTGTTTTTCATGAAAGAAAAAAACGATTCTTCATAATCCGCAAACCATTCCTTGAATTCGGGATATTGAATGGCTAGCTTCTTAAGTTCATCACTGATGCATTTTTTTTGCTCCGGGGTTATCATCGAACCATGTCTATTTTCCCCAAATAAACCCAAAATACTGTGATCGATTTCGAAGCGGCTGACACCAGCATTCACCAACTAAATAAATGATCAGGTTGAAAGGAGTTACACACCGAAAATATATACATTGAACCAGACGAAAATGCCATTTAAAATTTGGAAGTAGTTGGAAGGTTGCTTGAAAATATATTTGTCCATCTAATTGTCTTTAATTAAATAATGATCTTGTGTATAAAAAATAGTTTTAAATGGTCTTCCAAATATTAGATGGTATTGTTTGTTTGTATATATTTTCTGTGTGTATCAATACTAGAAAAATATGTGAAATTACCATTATTGTTGAAAACAGAACACAAGTCACCAAAAGTTTCATTTTGAAAATAATTAATAATCGTGGCGCACTTTTTTGTCTAAAACCTTTGAAATTACAACTGTTGATTGGAATTATTTGTAAACTGATTATTTATAAGAAAAATAGTCAGCGTGAATCATTTTATCGGGAACAATAGCCAAATTTAATCAGCGACAATAATCTAACGATAGTATTGAATGTTACAAAGGCTACTTATCTCAGGAAGACACTTGACTTTTTATGAATTTCTTTTTTCCGGCATTTTTTTTTTATCAAAAATGTCCCATCAATCACTCTTTAGAATACGATTTATATTGGGCACGGTCTGTCTGATTCATCCATTTATCTAATTGAACTAAGTTTTAATTTAGTTTGGTATAATAAATGTAAAATTCAAGAACGTCCACTATGTGCCACACAAACTGAGAACTATTTTTTTAACAAAATAAAAATGATGTATTTTAAATTGTATTGTATTTCCAGTATGAATAATGATTTGATTTTTTATTTTCAGGTTGTTGAACTAAATGATGCATTGGCAATTAATTCAACATCGGTACGACTCGATTGGCATTTGCATATCAACGGAAATGAAGAATACATTGAGGTAAATTTGTAAAAACAATATGTATACTCAGAACTGCGTTTGTCATAACAGCTCGTGAAATAATCTGTTGTTTCTATTAAAAAATTGTAATTTCTTCATGTGCACAGGGTTTGTATATTCGATTCCGTGACTTAAGTGGTGGCTCTCAAAAATACAATATAATGACGGTAATGAGTCCAACGACTCAAAACTATATTGTTGGCAATTTGAAAAAGTTCACCAAATACGAATTCTTCGTGGCACCATTTTACCGAACGGTTGAAGGTCAACCTAGCAATTCAAAGATTGTACAAACATTTGAAGATGGTAAGTGATACTCCGTTTTACATTTCGGAACAAACCAATATAATAATATGATTATGTATTTTGCATAAATTTAAAATGAATAATTTACAATTGCAGTACCATCGGCTCCACCAGATAATGTTCAAACCGGAATGCTTAATTTAACTGCTGGATGGGTATGTTACAATATCTCAGATTTAATTTCGATCGAAATCGGTGATTGTAAATTTGAATTTGGTTTCAGGTACGATGGTCACCGCCTCCACCGCAGCATCACAATGGGCATCTTCTTGGATACAAGATTCAGGTATGCATAACAAAATTCAATTGAATTGTAAATGTTAACATATAAACTACAAATTGAGAATGCTACATGTTCAATTCTTCTTCATTTTATTTTTTCAATTGAAATTTTACCGGTTTTCTCTTCGAGTTTTAATGCTTGCATTCGAAAAATACAGCCGGCGTCAATATAGTTCACAAATGTGAACTTCAAATTATGTTTGATTTTCCATTAATTTGCTTGGTCACGTTATAATTCATGACTATTTTCACAGGTGAAAGCTGGCAATTCGAGTAAAGTTCTTGCACAAATGACACTAAATGCAACCACAATGTCGGTTATGTTAAATAATTTAACCACCGGAGCTACATATAATGTACGTGTTGTGGCTTATACACGTATTGGAGCTGGACCATATTCACAACCGGTATGTGTTTTGCACATTATAAAATATTGTCAATGGCAAATGGGCGAATGAGAGTCTATTCCCGTGTGCTAATACATTTTCACCAATTTTCATGGGAAATTTTCCATTCATTTACACGTGAGATAAATCGAATCGTTTTGCGTCTGTTTATTTTATGTTGTTTCGATCGTGTAAAAATGGTCGATTTGATAAATTACGCAAAGCGCAAATGTTTTATGAACTTGTGAAAAGTGAAAAGTTCATAAAATTTATTTTCGATGCTCTTTTTTTGTCCATTAAAATAACTCATGTATGTGTGGATGTTTTGTACTGCCATGGTGGATATATAAACAAGCACAAACCACATAGATGAAATATTTTCCAATGCAAAGAGAAAAAAGAACCGTACGTAATTATCTATGAATAATGGGCATTTTTTTTCATTCTCGCCAAATAAATTTGTTCAGGTTTCATTGACTATGGACCCAAGTCATTTGGTAACACCACCACGAGCACATCCAAGCGGTTCAGCCAACAGTCTCGATGACCACCACCAACAACGAAAACAACCACCGAGCCTAATTCATGAACCATGGTTTATCGTATTGATTTCAATAGTTGTATTGCTATTTTCATTCATTGCGACCGTTGCAATGATATTCTTCAGGCGTCGTCATCAAATTACAAAAGAAATCGGACACATGAATGGTAAATGTGGTGAAAATAGTTTTATGACATAATTTTTTCAATTTTTCATCTCACTCTCTCTCTCTCTCTCTCTGTCTCTGTTCCCTTTAGTTCCCGTTGTAAATGCAAACGATATAACTGCATTGAATATAAATGGAAAGGAAAGTTTATGGATCGATCGTGGTTGGCGTGCCGGCGATACAGATAAAGATTCTGGTTTAAGTGAAGCCAAATTATTGGGTAACTCAAGTACATTGTCGCAAGGAAACTATACGGATGGCGGAACTGATTATGCCGAAGTTGATACACGAAATCTAAGCACGTTTTATAATTGTCGCAAGGTGGGTTCTTTTGCAACAAATTAATACATTTTGACATTTAGATGATGCATTACACGACTAATTGAATATCCATTTGCGTTTAGTCTCCTGATAATCCGACACCGTATGCAACAACAATGCTACTCAATGGTAATGGATCTTCAGGTGAGAGCTGCACAAAACGTTCCGACGGTCATTCATCTGGTACATCAAGCCCCCATTCGGACCCAAATCAATCATTTAACACACAATCAAAAGCAAATCTTGGATATCCATCATTCCCACCGCCTGGTACAAAATCATTCATTTTCATCTTTTTATTGTCATTTTCACAAATCGAACGATTTTTTTTTCTTTCATTATCATGCTCCGTTTTTTTTTTCACTGAAAATAGCCGGGACATTTTCTTTAATAAATGTTTTATTTCTTCCTCAGCCAATTGGACCGAATTCTTACCACCACCGCCAGAGCATCCACCACCTTTGCCGTTAGCTAATTGCGCTCAACCGATGGGAATGTGCTATGTACCAACCAGTCCTGGATCAATGCGAAGAGCGGCAGCTCAATGGGCCGGCTCTGGATTGGCAAATCATCAAAAGTAAGTTACAAAAAAAATAATGGAGAGTGATTTTAAAAATTTTCACATATTAATCATTCAATTCCCGCCTGAATTTTCCTGAAAAAAAAAGGCGGTACATGATTAAAAAATAGAATCGATAAAAAAATTCAAATGTCATATAGTAAATGAACCATTTCTCATTTTTTTCTGTCATTTTTTGTTTACGCTCCAGTTTAATGGCACAGAACAATGGTCCGTGTGGTCCGACTTCCGTTCCGGTTGGTTATTCCCCATGGGGTCCATCACAGCATCAGTACGTGGAAAATTTCTATAACAATCCCATTCAGTATCCAAATGGATCGTCAAATAATGTACATCGTTTCCCACCAAATCATCAGCCACCGTTACCAAATGCAAATAGTACAGCATGCTATCCACAACATCAACAAACGACAAAAAGTTGCCATTCTCACTATCCATCAAATCACGCACACTCGGTCGAATATCAGCCATATCATCCGAACAATGGAATTAATCGGAAATGCGGCAATGCACGAATGTGCAGTAGTTACGATGCATTGACATCACCACAACAGCCACTGCTTCCGAATTCGACAAATTGGCCCAATAGTCAATCGAAAACGAATGGTGGTAGTGTTGGTGGTGGTGGTGGTGTCAACGGTGGCAGCGGTACGCACAAATGTAACAAACAAAATTCCCAACAACAATTATACCAATGTTCATCCGAATGTTCGGATCATTCATTGAAATCACATTCACAGCATTCGCATAGCAGTCAAGAGCGTAGCAAAAATAGCAATTGCAAAGAATCATGCCATCAGCGATCATCGTCACAGGCGAACAAACATCATACGTACAATGGAAAAACAATCAACCACTGTACAACGAACGGAAACGACATTTTAAATGGCAACGACAATATTTACGAGAATGATGACGAGACAACGGAACACGATCGCATGATTACCAGCACAAGCGATTGCTGTAGTTCGGCTGGTGAAGTTGATGGCGATTCATCGTGTTGCTCATGCAGTTTATATGCAGAAGCTGGTGAACCAACCAATACCACTACCACCACACAATCAACGTCGAACAATCAACTGGCAAAAGTTGCGGCTCAAAATTAAGAAGAAGACGACGATGAAAAAATAAAATAAATATATATTCAATTTTCAATATAAAATTCACCAATAGACTATGTGCATACGCATATATGAAAGTGAGAATATATATATAGATATATATATATGATAAAACTTGTTTTGTGATATACTCTGAGAATCAACACTTCGAATTTGTTGTGTGCGTGAAGAAGATAGATGGACGATCGGGTTAGTTTCTGCTAGATGATATTTCTCTGGGTGGCAATTTAATTGGAATGTGTAAATGGTGCAGTAATGCGCGGTCGGATGTTATGCAACAACCGCCATCACCACTAGCAACGGCAACGCCGGCATCGATTGCAACAACAATTCTTTGTTTTAGTTTGTTCATCATCATCATTATCGTCCAAATAATAATTACGCATATAATTATTACTTAAAATATGTAACATAAATATTCAAACATAAACTCAAACTGGGATGTTAAAATTCATTCACTGTTTTTGCGCTTGTTCACTCTTCAATTTACTCACTCACTCACTATCTCGCTCACTCTCTCTTTTGCTTTTTCTCTTTCTGTATCATTTTCTCTTTTGCGAATTCGTTTCGATAGAAGAAAAAAAAAAACTCGAAGCTATTTATCTAGCCGAAAATAAGCTTGTGCGATGAGAAGAGTATTGAAAACTTAATTAATTAAAAAGTTTTCAACTTCTCCACGGACCGTTAAGAAAACTTGAACTTTGCAAGTTTTAGCCGAAAATGTTTCCTCGGTGATGGTGCGGTGTTCAAGAAGCGATGAGAAGGAATGAGGCTACATCCAGGAGGGCAAAATGAGAGAAATACGAGGCAAGAAAATGAAATAGAATAGAGTTTGACATCGAGACGAAGAGACAAAAGTCGAAAAACAAAATATCCCCATTAACCACGAAAACAAGTGGGAGAGGCAAACGACAGCAAAATGTAAGAATTTCGCATCGGCAAAAACACAGCCAAAGCATTCAACAAGAATTCGAAATGGAATTTATCGTCATAAATGTGAATAGTGAAAATATAGTTTTATTGTACGTTGCATGATTACTCTTTAAATATGAAATTCCAAAATAAAGCATCTTACAATATGTACACATGCATAAATTTCAACGAACGAAAATGCACAATAACACAACTACAATGTAAACACAAAACAATACTTTGGTAAAATGGAATGGAACGATAGAGTGTTTCGTTATCAAACATACTTACGTACATGCACACAACCACATATATGCATAAGCACCGTTAAAACCAAAAAGCACTGCCAATTACTACCGTAATTTAGCTTTTCGAAAAGCAACAACAACGGACCATAAACAAAAGACCAGAGAGCTCATATATTGAGCAGACAACGTTGTCCAAAGTTTTCATTTTGGCAATTCGACTCTTGGTCGATGCCGTCATCACTTCGAAACGGTTTAAATGAGCTCACACAATAACCAAAAGTCTAACTTCAATGAGCCAGAATGAATGTGGATGTGTGTAGGTGCGCGCGCGCGCCCGCATGTGTGTCCATGTGTGTAAGTATACGAAAATTTGCATTTAAATGGTGCAATATTGAAAAGCATGTTTGCATCTAACCCTTAAACTCAAACTTTGAGAAACTTTTGTGGTTAATTGTCAAACAATACCATTTATTAAAAAGCCTAAACTTGTTCTTCGTCCTTCGATAACTTGCATACACATGCACACATGCTTACGTACGTAAAGATAAATACACATACACACACATATATTTATATATATATATTGCAAATAATTACTCAATAAGGGCGGATCAAGTTGCTAAGATTCAAAAAGCAAACACAATTTTGGAAAATACTTTCGACAAGTATTAAGTTGCCAAGCTATCATACACTTATATTTTTCCCATATGGTCAACCAATGCAAAATGGAGTTTTATCATTACGCTGTATCTATTTAAATCGAATGTATATCGCTTAGAACATTGATTAAGCAGCAATGCACAATATACATACAGAAACATTCACTCATTCGCAAACACACACTCACACACATTCGCAATTTTATATGCTATGCTTATAGAAACTTTTAAGAATAATAACAGCATTCTCTGTAATTCAAATTTCAGAGAGAATTTTGGAAAAAACATTCATTTGTTTTGGAAACTGCATTATTTTAACAAAACATAACAATAGATAGCAAAACTGATGCAAAGGCATAAAATGCAGATCAGATCTTGTTCTAATGCTATTGAAATATATTATATGTAATGCATTTGAGTTGTTTTTTTCTTTGACGAGAAAACTGAAGCAGAAGAATGTTTCTTTTTTTCTTCATTTTTTATCGATTGTAGAAAGTGGATTTTGGTAAATATGTTTGGATGCGCTCAAAAAAATTATAGAAAAACATATCACATACAAAAAGCGATGCGAGAAAATGAAAAATTGTTTATCATCGAAAGATGAAATCTTGTTTTAAAAAGAATATGCCAGGCACACGCAATTTGTTCATGTGATCGAATTGTTGTACATAAAATCATATCGATATTGTTTCGACCCATATTTTTAGATTTGAAAAAAAAAAAATGTTTGAAAATGTGTCATTTTCTCTCTAGCTTGCTTCTACTTCCATGTCCCCAAAACAAAAGCATTAAATAAGTTTTACTCACGTTTTTGAAATATCCCTACCGACCGATTGATTCAATATCATATTTCATACACCAACCGAACGATCCACATCATTACAAAAAGAAATCCATAGTTTTTAGAATTTTTACGAAAAGAAACATAAAGACCAAGAACAAAACTGTTTTGTAGACACCCGCCACATTCCGCATTTCAAACACCACTCATCCATACACAAACACACAAACTTTTTGATAGAAACAAACTCATAGACAAGTAGATTATATTAAGTAAAACCACATACATGTTGACCATATTTCATTTTTCCTTTCTACCCGATCCCGATGAATCGGGAAAGTCAACAACAACAACAAAAATTGTATCAACATGTTCGAATTGAAAATACAAAGAATAAAGCACTAAACTTTGAAAATAGTTGCGCAAATGAAAATAAATGAAGAGAGAATAATGAATGTGTAGTGAATAATCGGCCATTCAAACAATGGCAAAAACGCCATTGATAAAATGCATTTCAACACTCAATTAAACTAATGAGAGAAAGTAAATAAGACGAAAAGTATACCGGAAGAAATTAGCACTGCAACCGACGAATTATAGTCAAAATCTATTATAAAATAGTAAAAATAAATAAAAAAAAACTAAAATATATGTATTGTACGATTATAAACAATAATAATATTATATTTAGATATATAAGTTATATTATAGAATTAAAAAAACACCGAAAAAACATTTGTACATATATACTCTTAAACGTTTCTTGCTCGTAATAATTAATCGCATAAAACAAATGAAATTATGTAAAATCGTATAGCAATATTGATGAATTTCCTAGTTCGTTTGCGTTCTTTTTTAACTTGTTTTATTTTTTAACGCATCCTATATAATATATAAATATATACATAAAAAAAGAAACAGCGAAACTAGCAACAACCGATTATAAAAGGAAAAACAATGAAACACATTCACTGATTCAGTGATTTTTTTTTCTTTCGTTGTTTTTGTTTTTCACTTCATAGCAATGATCAAATTAGACATGTAGTTTGTAAAGTTGTTTGTTTTGTGCAGCTAATTTTATGTATTCTCTAAAACCGTTTAGTGTGTATGAGCCAAGTAAAACAAGAACGATTGAAAAGATGAATAAGAAGAAAGGTGAATTAAGCGAAATGAAAAAAAAAATGAATTAAGCGCAACATTTAAAATCCTAATCTTTACTGCAACAACACACAAGGTACCTGTGATATTATTTTAGTTTTCCTTTTGAAGCGGCGTAATACACAACATACATTTATATTTAAACAAAAATGAAACACACACACTAATTTAAAGTGAAAGAAAAACACACACAACAAAAATATTAATTACAAAATCATTATATCGAAGAAAAAAAATTAAATGTATCGTAGAATTTTTAAAATGCTGTAAAAGGGTAAAATTAATGGAATAAAATAAAAAATAAAAATGATAAAAAAAACATAACAAAAAAAACCATTCACATTTACATTGAAGTTATAATGAGAAAAAGGACGTTGATATGTGATAGGCCGTTAAAGCGTTATTTATAAAACAAACAGAAAAACAACAATGCAAGACATTTTCCATTTTTCTTCCTTTCGAATCCAAATGTTCCATCCATTTGGTTAAATGAATCACTTTCTTTTGCTCTTTTTCATTTTGGTAGGTTTTCTGCATTTCATTTTCGGTTGGTCAAAATAAATCCGAAACGATTTTTGTTCTTAAATATATTAATCTATAAATGATGTAATGTAAACTCTGACTGCATCAATATTCTTCCAGACCAGACATTAGGCTCGAGCTATGCATATAGCGGCTGCTATTTTATAGGTGCTATTCATAGGCGCTATTTAATTCGTGTGCTGTGTGTAACACCGAGTAGGAATATCATAGCCTACTATTCTTTTGTACATTTGAATGTGAGTACAAGAGAGATGTAGAAAATAACACACAATATGCATAAATGCATTAAAACGAGATAAATAGCGCCTATGAATAGCAGCTATGAAATAGCAGCCGCTATATCCATAGCTCAAACCTAATGTCTGTTCCAGACAGACAAGCAAAAGATATGTAATCACACATGGATAAATATTTAGCATTTTTGAACTTAACACATTACGTATCATGAACGAAAGAGAGCTAGAATAAGTGAGTTTTTACCAATATGTCATTCAAACGGATTGACAACCCCATCTCTCGCTCCCTTAGACTAAAATGAAATGTAAAACAATAACAGAAGAGAAAAAACCGTAGTTAAAATCACTCTCAATTTTTTTTCAATACCGCGCAATGAACTTTAGTCAAAAAAAAATTCCATTAAAATACAAGCAAACACAGCATCTCCAATAATTTTGTATGGATTGACTGGTTTTCCTTCTGTGCATACAAAGATCCATAACAGATGTCATTTTGTTCAGTTGAACCGGCAAATCTATTGGAAATTCTGTGAATGTGCAACGAATTGCAAGCGAAGAAATATAAAATATATAAGTAAATATTTAATCATATTATTCGCATACGCCTATCCATCAGAATTATTACACTTTCATACACACACATATACACTCACACCACTCACTCCATTAGTTAGGCAAAATGTGTGTAAACAAGAAACTTCTTTTTGTAAAATCAATTGAAACCTAGCGAAGTGACATAGAGATATTACTATTTCAGAATGACAAAAGAAAAATTGAAGGACAAAAAAAAAAAAATACGTAAAATCATAAGCGCAGACGAGATAGATGATCCAATATTATATTAAATTAAAACACACAGAACAAATCACATTCACACACTCACACAAATACATGGTAAATTATAATAATAAATGAAATCATTGTATAAAAAATCGAAGACAGAAGATTAAATTAAAGTACGAAAATAAAAGTTTGAAAAATAAAATAAAAATCGAATGCGTTTTAATGTCATTCTTTACTTTTGAATTAGCAACATCGGAGGAGTTTGAGCACCATCTGTTGTTTGATATCTGTATGATATTCGTGTAATAACGGTAAGTGACAGCGCGAAAAGCCGACTTCAAACGAGATTTGGCTCATATTTATTTTTATGCCGGAAAATCGGTATTGAAAACGCTTGCCATCGTCGCTTGTCAAATAGAGTCTCGATTGTGTGTGTGTGTGTGATAGAGCGAAAAACAGCAGCTCATATTGCAATGAACGAACAAAAACATTTGTTCGAGATTAAAGAGCTAGCGTACACACAGCGTGTTCATATGCTTTAAAATGCCATGTGACGCTGACGGTGATCGAAAATAGACACATTTTCACATTTGTTTGAAACTTCTTTGCTGCTCTCTGCTTTTACGTTGAAAATTCGAAATGCAAGTAGCGAGACGAATGCTCGATCTTTCGCTGTTTTGCCGTCGTACAACAACATCGAAGACGACGACGGCGACGACGACAACGGTTCTAGCTGGGTTTGCGTCGCTCTGACACACGCACACCAAATGAAACGAATGATCAAAAATGTTCGTCCGCCTGCAACTTACATTCGCTACGGGGAAAACGCCAAAGTTCAGTGAATAGCAAACCAGTCACACTAAAATACGGTATTGTTTTTATCTGAATATAGGAAAAATTGCTCTCCCACGAAAAGAGAAGGAAAAAAAAGAAGATGTAAGCGAGAAAGGAAGTGAGTTTGAGAAAGCTTCGATTAGTAACAGACAGATGAAATATTTTTCTAAATCCAAAGATTAAATATTCGTCGTCTGCTTTTGCCACTCATTTCAATATATAAATTAGTTTGTGCTCAATTGTTATTTTAATAAAGACATAAAAATGAGATGCTCAAATCAAATCTACAATCAAAACTTATTTGAACGAGCATCGAACAATACACAGGTTATGGCATAAGATAAGTGTTTGCCGTCATCTTTGATCAATTTAGAGAATTCGCGTGAACAAAAAAGAAATGTGTTTATTGCACTGTTTGTAGATGCAATGCATTGTGCTAGTTAATGAATTTTTTACAAGCAAATTGAATGCATTGAAATTGATCAAATGCAAAAGATAAATAACTAAAGACGCGACGTGTATGAAGTGCAATAACATTGAATGTTATCAAATGTTATTGATAGGACATGTTCTAGAAGGAATTTATGCCGTTTTCCGTCTATATTTGGTTAGATAAGTAGATTTGTGTGTAGATCTATCCGAAGGGAATCATGCATTTTCCAATGGCTAAAATGCAAAATCAACCAAAAAAAAAGTATTCGTATTTTTAGATATCATTATTATTTGGCTTCAAGTGAAACAAAAAAGAATCTTTGTGCATCGTTTGCCTTGTGTACTTTCTCTCTTTTACAAGATCATTTGCTCTCTCACGTTGAAAATTAGTTGAAACATTTACTGCATCAATTTTCAACATAAAGTGAAAATAGACAAAACGCGCATTTTAAAGAACGGCAACTGCAAAAGCATATATAACACACAAACAAGACCGCTAAACATTTCCCGAAGACTCGATTCTTGAATAAATAAATATAGCGAAAAACTCACATAGAAAATTTAACGATATGCAATATATGTTGTGCACAAATCTATTTCATATGATCTTTTTTTTTTTCTTCCTTTTTCTTGCCCGTTCATTTTCACTACACAATAAAAAATATATGTGTGTTACGATCGCTTATTTCGCTTGAATTCGGTTTCGATTTCGATTTACAGCCGCTGACGGAGTGTATGCACTAATTCTTTTCTCTTAAAAATTTGCGACTTTTTTACGTCTTTCACATCAATTTATATGGCATTTTCATTGAATTCAGATTGTGTGTGTATGTGTGACCAAATTCATATAAACGAAAATCCGTTCAATAAAAATTGTCATTTTGTATGAATGCTCATCGAATAAAAAATAACACAATGATGACGATAAGGAAAGGAATTTTAAGCCAAACTGAGCATCAAATGAGTAAGAGATTTAAATTGCCGTTAATGAATCAGTTCGATGATTTTGAGCAATCTTAATGATCGACATGCAAAACACACACACAACACTATGGAAAAGTGTCGTGTTTAAAATCCAAACGAATGAAAACGATTCCAATTAAAATATAATAAAAGTGAAAAAACCCATAGAGCCTTCACACGGTCGGATGATTTTTCTTCGCTTTATGAATTTCGGCTCATACGCGTTATGTATGTCGGTGGTTGTGTTACTCTATTAACATGACAAGAAAAACGCGAATTATTGTAAGAATTATGCCGACACATACATTAAAAATTAAATAAATCATTTTATACGAAATGACGTCAAAGAGTACAGAGAATGAGAGCAAACGAGCAGCATCGTCGACGAGACAGTTTCGATGCGTGCCGTTGTCGATCAACTTGAATTAAAAGAAAACTGGGTTATGGTGTTGGTGTGTTCGATTAAAAGCAACAAAATTATTTTCCGACGACGCATTGAAACGGTCATTTGAGTGTACACAAAGTTTGCCTTTTTTCAATTCAACTGGAAATAGATTTGGATTTTACACACAATGTCGAATTTAATGCTGTAATTTGATTGATTAAGTGCAAATTGAAATTTTATTGGCCATTTCAACATCAAAATCGCCCGTTGGGAAAGTCGTTAAAAGCAGAAAATTCGTTTTTTTTTTCTTCTGTATGTGCGCGATGGGTTATCGAATTTATAGCTTGCGCACATAGTGACAAATGGTCGAACAGATTTTTTTTTGTTTGGTGAGGCGCCAAAATGTGAAAGCATTTCCAACGCACACAAACAAAACCGAATTAATAGCAAAACAGCGAGAAAAAAATCATATGAAAAACGTATGAAGCAAACGTGAAAAACTGGTTCAGTTCAAAAGAGCATCGGTTGCCGCAAGTATTACTCAATACACCCGGCCACAAACAAAACCACACCAAATGTCGCATATCAAATAACAAACAATTAACAAAAATCAATTTATCTACTTTTTAAAAAATCTTATTTTCGTTTTTAAACCATTGATAATTTGTCAAGAGTAAAAAGAAAATGCGAAAAACCTCTGAGTTGCCAATTATCGCAACATTGATACAAACAAATGGTGCTTTCATATTTATTCAATAGTGATTTTCTGCTGCCAATTATCTATTAGTGCCTGTTTGATACATCTCGAAGACAAATTGATGCTTCGATTTTTCTTGATGAAAATAAACCGATGAAAATATATGCGCATCAGACAAAAAACGCAATTCAATTCAATTTTTGTACTCCGTAAAATTGCGTACATCGGTGAAAAGTGGCCGCGCATTAACCACATCTTTAAAGTGTAGACGAAATGATTCATTGTGCATTTTCATTTCGCCTTCATCCATTGGCGGCTGTCATTTCTGTGCGCATTTTACTGTTTTTGTTTTGTTTATATATTTTTTTTTATTTTTTTCTTCCAGTATTCACATCAAAGACACGCAAAAATTGTTTTCTTTTATCTGAAAAGCATCGCAATTAAATGAAAATTTATAGCATCGAAATGAATAAATCACATACGAGAATGATGCGTAAAATTTAAGTGAGTAACTTGAAGTGGCTCATTCATGAAAATTATCGACACAATTTTCTAGATCATTTCGAATTGTAAATCGTAAAGAAAATACTTAAAAATTTAAGAAAACTGATTTCAAATTGAAGAAACAAAAGTATGAATTCGTCTAGTCTGAGAAAGCAACATGGAAGCATCCATAGGATACGTGAGTTTGAATTGGAAAAGGTTAGTATATCGTGTGAGTGTGTATTAGATTCGAAAAAAGGAAAGAAACAAAAAAAAAACAGAAGAAAATTCCGATGTATCACATTCCTTAAAGATGATCAAATGCGCCATGCGACCAAAATACTTGGAATATTTTCTCTTTATTTCGTCTTTGATTAAAATTCCGTATTTTTTTCAGGTTAATCTATCGGATGAGTTTGATATTTTACAAATTGTCGGCGAAGGATGGTTTGGCAAAATTTTATTGGTTGAACATAGAGCGACCGATACAGAAATGGTGTTGAAAGCATTACCGAAACCGTACGTTTCGCTACGAGATTTCTATCGAGAATTTCATTATGGACTGCATTTGGGCGCACACAAAAACATCGTTACAACTTATGACGTTGCTTTTGAAACGGCTGGTTTTTATGTATTCACACAGGAATATGCACCATTGGGTGATCTAACGTCGAATGTATCGGACATTGGTATCGGTGAAATGCCCACCAAACGTGTTGCCAAACAAATTGCATCCGCTCTTGATTATATTCATTCAAAGTAATTTCTTCATTTTCCATTCAAAATTCCATTTCATTTTTGGTGCAGAAACACAGAACTAAGGAAAATATTCTTTATTTCACAGAGACTTAGTGCATCGAGATGTGAAATTGGACAATGTTTTAGTTTGTCGGTCCGATTTCTCTCGTGTAAAACTATGCGATTTCGGTGAAACTCGCAAGGCTTATAGTTATGTACAACGACGAAACGAATGGCTGCCGTACAGTCCGCCAGAAGTACTTTCAATCAGTACAGACCAAACATATCAGTAAGAAAACAACAATTTTCTTCTTCTTTCTTTTGAAACAAATCTATTTTTGGAATTGATCTCTTCAAATAATAAAAATCAATTTGCATTCTAGAACGGTTCCATCGCATGATTTTTGGCAATTTGGTATTGTACTGTTTGTGTGCTTAACGGGTTGTCTTCCATGGCAAAAGGCGGCATCGGATGATCCTCGATATATGCGATATTTGGTATGGCAAAGCTCAACTATGGTTATTCCCATCAAACGAACACCAAAATTATTTAAATTGCTCACAAATCGTGCATGTAAACTATTTCGTAAATATCTTGAACCGATACCGGAACGTCGACCAAAGAATCTATCCGATCTTCATAAATTCTTGGACGATAGATGGCTTGCGAAAAATGCAGAAAAAGATATGATTGGTGAGTTTGGCAAACGGTTTTTATATATGTTACATTATTTTGTACGAAAGCACAATTCTGACGCTTATTTATTTTCCAATCCATTTTCAGCAAACGAACCGGATGAATTGTGTGCGTCAATGTATTCGTTTCACAGTAGTCCAGAGGAAAAGAATAAATTATTGTATGCATTGACACAGCATGGCATTGAAACGACGGTAGATAGAGTGGCTAAAAAGAAACGAATTCGAGATTGGATTCAAGAGTCTGTCATTCAAGAGGAAGAGAATGAGAACGACGACGAAGAAGAAGACGAAGAGGAAATTCGTCATACAAGTCGAGCACCGGTACCGGGTCACGTTTCCTCAGTTCGTGCTCAAGAAAAAGAGGCACGCACACAAATTGTATCGACTGTCAAAGATGCAGCCAACAAACACATAAATCCGCGAACCGGAAAAATACAACACGGACCAAGTGAAATGGGCCATCATACGACGGATAATGTTGAACGGACATCGCAGGAACGCATAACCGCGCAGCCAAAACAAATGGACCATACCAATGTACTGCAACCAAGGCGACGAGAAAATGATGTCTACGAATATCGTCGTACAACAAAATTAGTGGATGTTGGATCGCAAACATCAAGTGAATCACAAAAACAACTTGAAGCGGCTAATAATGCTGCACGAACCTATACACCTGAACGACCGAATTCCATTGGTGCAATAATCGATTCACATTCGGTACCAACCGTATCACATACACCACCATCTCTTCCATATTCAAATAGTAAAAGTCAAAATACACAAACAAACCTGAGTCGAATAGATCAAACAACATCACGTGGCTTTATGTCAGCATTCAATTCACTTGCCACCGTCGCCGTTCCCGTTGCTATACCAGAGATACAACAAACTCAGCCAAAATGTGGCCAACAACCGGTATCGTCCAATGAGACGAGAAATAATAATCGTGATCGATCACATTCACGACAAAGTTATCAACACCGTCACAACACGACTGCACTTACAAAACAGCCGCTTTCACGTTCTGTACACAATTTCAATAATTTATCGCCCATCAATGACAGTGGCTATGGTTCATTGGATAAACTTCGTTCGAATGATGGTGCTAACGTTTTGTTGGCATCACCAACCTTTTCAAAGCGTTCAATCGTTCAATCGAAATTGATCACGTTGCCAAATGGTGGCAACGTTTCAAGCAATGACATTATTCACATCAATGGTAAGTCACATTCACAACACGAAAGTAACAGCCCATTTCATTCGGATTCTGGAGGTGATGGCAGCCCACGCGGTTCAAATGGTTTTGTCAATTATGCCGGCATTAATACATCAGCAACATTCATACCGACTGAAAGAAATAATCTACGAGTTAGCATGAAAGATACAGCATACGATCGAGTTCGAGGCATGCGACGAAAGAGATGATTTCAATTAAATTCATTACATATAGAAAAAAAACCTATTAGAGGTATATCGACTTTGACGAATCCAACCATTTATGTATTCATTCGCTTTTAATTTCCATTGAAAAAAGATTGTTTTAAACGGGAGTCTCCGAAGAAGGAAAAAAAACTTTTAAAATTTTCTTCGAATTTGACTTATTAATATGGAATATTATAAAACGAAATAAATTTCACAAACATTAGCGTGTTTTTTTTAATTGATTATTTGTTTTATTTTATTTTTTTTTATATAAATTCTCGTTTCACTTAAAAAAATAGTTCATCTCAAATAACTTTTAAATTGGTTTCTCCAGCATAAGAAAAGAAGCCTTAGAAGTCTTCTATGTATATATCACCATATTTCATGGAAAAATAAATGCAAAAATATATATATATATTTCCATCAGACCCTTCATCCATGAGCAAAACGATAACATACATAATTTGTATGATTTCTTTTATGGTAACTTATAAATATGTTGATGTTGTTTTTTTTTTTAATTTAAGCTAATACTAATATTAAATGTATTTGATTTTGCACTTTTAAATTAGTTGTGTGATTGTTGCCTCGCTACATGTAGATTTTTTTGGTTAAATTGGATAATTAACAATTTTATTGTATTATTTTCTTCTTTCTTTTTTAAATATAATTTCTCTTAAATTCGATCAGCTACAAATGTACTTCTCATAAACGTTAAATAAGTTAGCCATTGCTTTATGTGAAATACCGTTAAATATACATATGTGAAGGCTATTCAATAATTCTGTTCAAGGTTTCACCATAAAATTCGCAGATTATTGAGTCTCACATTAATTCGAGGTACGATTCTTTTCTCATCATTAAATTTCTAGTTCCCAACTTATTGTCCGTGCCATGTGAAAACTCCCAAAATGTTAAGTTTAAAATGTGGAAAGTGAATGCACTCTGTGCACCGTATTCCGAATATAAACATCTCTTATTTACTAAATCCTTTAGTATTGTACTTTTTTTTCCTTGCGTCGTTCACCATTCTTCTTCTTTTTTTCAGTTCGATAAATAAAGTTTCTAAGTAGATTTTCAGTTTGTTATTACTATTATCATCACATCGATAAACATTATATGTTTAGTAGGATTGTCGGTGATTGAAAGCAATTCCATTGTTTGGTTGTGCAGATCAATTCTCTCTCTCTCTCTTTCTCTTTCTCTTTCAGTTTATCGCATTGACAGAGAAGTCATTTTAAATAAGTTTATTTTTTTTGGGATCGTTGATTAAGGTGGCTAATTCTCGGTTTTAATGCTAATGTTATTCGATGATGCTGCCTGGTAATCATTTGAATTGCTCAAAATGTCTCGACCAATGTTTTCGTTTGTTTTTTCAATTTTTTGTGGTAATACATCATCGTTCTTCTTCGGCACTTGTTTGCTTGCTGTAACAATCGCCGGTTTTTTCATGTCTGAATTCACCGAAATGCCATTTATATGTTCGCCGTCTGGTTTCACAATTTGTTTTTCATTTGTTTGATTTGGTGCTACACTCGACTGTCTGTCGACCAGCAATTTGGCAACTGGAAGTGGTGGACTTTTGATTTTTTCCTCATTTTTTGATAAATGCGCATCGTTGCTGGTGGTACTGGCTGATATTTTATTTTGTACTTGATTTTTCGGCAATGATGTATCCTTCGATTTTGTACCGGACGCTGAACGATCTTGCATTTGTGCAATGTTATTCACTTTTTCTGAAATTTCGTTGATTTTTTCATTGATTCTCTCTAAAACTAATTTTTGATTTTTCTCATTTTCTCTGGTCAATTGACTTTTTACTTGGTCCAACATTTCTTTGGTAAGCTTAGTATCGACATTTTCTTTTGCATTGATTGCGATTTCTTGCTCTTCACGTTGAATGGCCTCATTATTGATCACCGAATCGGATGGTTTTTTATCGGTGGTCGATTCGCTCAATTGACTTGCAATGCGATTTGGCTTTGGTACATCGATCGATTTTAGTAGTGTATTAACACTTGGCTGTTGAACACTTTCAATGTGTTTCGATTCAATCGCATCTTTCATTGGCGGTGACTCATCTTTTTCGATTTTCGCATTTGATTCTCGAATTGATTCACTTGGCGTTGTGATTTTTGATGGTTTTGTTTTTCTTGATCGTGGTTTTGATAATTTACCGCTTGAATCATATACGATGTCAATTACCGGTTCTTGTGGTCCAATTTCAACTTGTTTGTTTAATGCTTTAATTTTCGCTTGCGCTATGAAGGGATCGTCATTTGCCGATGGCGTAATATGAATGTCTGGCAGTCGATCAATTGGAATATTGGCACCAGATTGTTGGTCATCGATTGCACCGAGATTGGCATACGTACCAAGTATCATGATCAAAAATCCAAATACCAACAAGAACTGTTTTTTTCGAAAAGAATTAGTGTATATTTAGCAAAATTGGAAAGTGAATATAAATTTACCTGAGCCGCAAGACGTTCGGTGGAGTTTTTCTTGTTGATTTTTATGAAACACGATGCTGGAAACATTATGCAAATTGCAACGCCAATGGTTGAACCAACCAAACCAATGATGAGCTCAATCGATGGTATTAAAATGCCCATGATGAGTGCAACCAAAACCATTGAAATTGTTATGTATTTGAAACGATGCTCTGGAATGTAATGCGCCGTATCCGAATGTGACTGTAGAAGAGGTTGAATAAACGTGTTATATTCGTCGTCCAAATGTTTACAACGCTCATCTTCATCCTCAGACGATGATGCACTTACTCTATGATACAACAATGAATACAAACTCGCACGGCACGGAAATATCACCAATGGAAAACTAACGGCAACCGACAACACAAAACCCATTTGAATGATGTCGCTGGCCAACGATGGTGACAGGCTTAGCAACACATTTCCCGAAAAATGTTGATCGTGGAATGCAACATAACCAAAAAAACCAACACATATATAGACCATCGTACAAATACCCGTACCATATTTTATGATGTGATTCATTTTGTCGATCGTTTGATTTGGCAGCGATTCGTAGATTTCGAATGTTTGCATTTGACACGATAATGCCATGCTAAAGATTGGCAAACATTGGGTTATGCCACTTGGTCGCCACCACCATACATTATTATACCACGAATTTGTTACCATTTTACTCTCCGATTCGAAAAAGATCTGAAAAAAAATCATCATTAATTTTGATAACATATGGGGAAATTTAAACAAACCTTCAGCACCAAGCAGAAGTAGAAAATGATAGAAGAGATGCACATCAACGATAGACTTTCAATGTTTCTCAATAAACACAATGGAATTATACAGAATATCGTTACGAGAATCATGATAAACGTTCTGAAAAAAATTAACGGATGCATTTATTTAATTACAAATAATTGAAATTCAATTATTGATTGTGTAAATATTGACGACTTTTTTGTTGTGTTCATTCCAGCTGAACAACAATTACAATTATCAATAGCAGCGATTGGACGTCTCGAACTAAGAATGTTCAATACCTTAATGAATCTGTGCTATTCACGTTGAATAGTTTTGCGATGAATTGTGGTCCCAAATCGCCAACAACAACAAAATATGTGATGCATGTACCCATTAAATATCCGATTACGCATAATTCAACCATCAGCTTCCCAGACGAACCGAAAATATATGAAGCTGAAATCCCAAAAAAAAAAATTAATCAGCATATGAAAAATCAAATAAAATGCAGTTGCACTGTGCACTCCTATAATGATATCCCACGTTGTCAAAATTCTGTGATGAAACTTACCCAAAAATTCGAAATTTTTTCGCCGTGCTTTAATCGAAGATTTTAAGAGGTAATGACACGCAAGTCTTGTAATTGCATTGCTTAAAGCGAGCAATAAAATAGACAAAAGAATGCCGCACTGAAACGAATTAAAAATCGAAACAAAAATTAATAAAATTGATATAAATTTCATCATTATATCTAAATGTACCTTTTGAAAGCAAAATGGCATCGCAAGAATTCCAACGCCAATAATACTATTGGCCAATGTCATAATGTATCCCGTGTTTAAACTCATTTTGATGAATTTTCTCGATTTGGTTCGAATTCAAACGAAAATATGTACGAAAAATGTTGAATCGATTTCTGCAAATGCGAGAAAAATGTGAATCGATGTGTATGGAGTGCGAGTATGATTGATGGAGAATCTGAAATACGTTGAAATGTTACAGCTTTTTGAGTGGCTGCGATTCGTTGAAATTAAAATGAAATTGATGATGTATGTATAATATTGGCACAAGGCACTTTGCACAATTTCTGTTGGTTTTCATGTGTTTTCAGCTGTTTTGTTTGCACCTCTGTTCAATGCACCTTAATGCAGTGGCCAACATTAGAAAATACTTTCGTGGAAGAAAAATGTTGCAATGTAAAAGAAAGCAATTGATAGAGAAAGCAATTGAAAAAAGTCTCCTTTAAACGCACTAGCAATTATCCAAAATTGCGTCCAGTCCAGTATGGTGGGAAGTAACAATGACAGTCTAATCGTTGTATTTTTATGATTAGATTCTCTAAATAAGCGAATCCAAATAATCCGAATGAATTTTTATTTTAAATCATCGACATGAATTAGCGATAAGATACGATAAGGTACACGTTTATTTATTCGTTCAAATGCGTGGCACATTTGTTTTTGGAACATTCGATTATTTCGCAAACACTATTGATCCAAATGGGAGAGTTTATTTTGGGTGTCCAATTAATATTCGGTTTTTTTTATGCCGAATCAAGGGCAACTCCTTGGATTTTACGTAATTTGATTCTGCATTATTTGCAAATGTTATTGTACAAACAAATCAACAAATAAAACAGTATATTTATCTATAAATTTATTCAACGTAGTGAATACACAACATGATTCATTGTAAATAATGGAACTGTCAAGAAGCGATGACGTTAGCGCGATGATGAGAAACGTCAACAATACGTGAAACAGTAACAACAAATTTAAGCCGGATTTCTCGGTATCATTTCGATTTTTAGTGATTTTCAATTCATATTTTAAAAAAAAAAAGTGAAAAAAATGGTTGGGAAAATTAAATATTGAGCAATTTTTGAAGTAACCACATAATAAACGATGATAAAATGAAAGAAACACTAAGAAATTATCTAGCCCGAAAAAGAAAACATTTCAAATGTGCACAGAGTGTAGCCCAAAAATGCGGTCGTCGTGCAGTTTATCTAAGCAAGACACAACAGATGACATGAACATAATACAAGAGGAACGAGAGTGTGTTTTGGCAAACATTGAGTTAGAAGAGAGCAACAACAAAACATAATGCATGTATGTATTTAGTTCTGTCAAAAAGGTCACCTTCACACGCATTTCGTAAAAGACACACATTTTCATACACTCTCTCTCACTCTCCCTCTCTTACACACTATTCAATATTCTTCTAAATGGATTATATCACGGTTGTGCGAGCCGAAACACATTATTGACAAAAAATGTGTAGTTGCGAATAGATCAAAACAGTTTTAAATTGTTATTGTTCGATTCGGTATTGGATCGATGTGAGATACGAAGTCGATTTGCAGTTGTAAATAAATAAAGAATTGCAGTGCCATTAAATTCTTGCATTCAAATTAGATTGAAACTCGATTTAACGGTAGCCACAGCAAATAAGTGTTTTGTTTTTTAAATCAGCTGACCGGGTTTATTTATGAATAAACAAATTACGATTGCCATTTTCAAGAGAACATAAACACTTTCAAAAAAAAAATCTCATTTTTTTTGAAGTTTAAAATAAAAGCGGCCACATTTTCAATCACATACATTGGTGGTTGTGCTCACGGTAAGTTATACGTTCTAAATTGTGAATGACGGCTATGCATCTCGGTTATTATCGCCTTAACACAAATACATGTGCAATATTCAAGAGGTGTCTCCCATATCCAATTGTCATTAAATTTGAACCACAGACTCCAGTTATGATTGTATGCAAAGCATAATCAGTAAATCAAATCACGAACGCATTGGTCGAAAAATTTGCAACATTTTGCCTTGACAAATTTTTTTTATACTCAACCCCATTGTCATCGAACGAAAAACTTTGAAATCGTTTCAAAAAGTGTTTGGAAAAAAAATTAAGTAAAAAACGGAATGAAATGATCGGTTCGTGTTTGAATTATTTGCTTGGAAAATTGTGTGCGCTATTTTCACACATCACAATATGTCGATCGAGAAAACGGGTAATTTGTGTGCATTGTTTTTTTTTTTGTCTTGTTTCGCCATGAAACATCAAAACGAATCGAGAATATTGAATTTGACGAAAAACGCATGATTCTCGATTGAAATGTTGTTTACCTATTTTTAACACGAGCTCATGTGGGCTATTGATTTCAATGTCAATGACACATTCAATGCGGAACACTTTTGCACTAGATAATTTTTTTTCGTTTTTTTTTTTTTGCTTTATTACGAATCGCATGTCATATTTTCGTGTTTTATTACTCCATGCCAATAAATGATATATAGAATGTTGCCTTAAATGTGCGCTCATCTGTTTGCCGAACGTCAATTAAACTATTTTTGTTGAATTTCAAGTTCATTGAAAGGTTATCAGACGACGACGATGGCATTGCGGAAACTTCTCTGTCGCAGTTGTCGTGAGCTTTATCTCTCCCTCTTCTCAATTCGGTTTGTGTGCAATCCGAAATAGATCACAATTTGTACCAAATAATAATAGGGAAATAGGTGCAATGCGTTTTTTGTTGTTGTTGCAAGCAACAAGTCGATATATTCATTGGTCGTGTGATGCATTTGAAAATGCCGTCAACGTGATCAAATTACGACGAGATGATTCGAAAAGACCAACAATGCATCAAACATCAAAGGCTATGTTGATATTGATTTTGAAACTGATTAAACGGTACAAATACGTCGATGCCGGTCAATCGTCTGTTTGTCACACTGTTTACGTCTGTCTAAGCAGTACACTTCCTTGATCGACATTACCGTAATTTGCAATTGCTGACTACGTTATTTTACATTGCATTGGATTCAAAATTTTTGACAACAACATAATTTTTTTCTTGGCCAAAGAGTTGAGCTTCTAATAACTACTGTACGCAAAAATATATGCCAGTGTGAAATAGTCGAAAACTGAGAATGTGAGTGTGTATTACAAAAATTTCTTGAAAAATTGCGTTCGGATTGAATTCGCATCAGTTGGCGCCGTTATTGTAGTTGCTGCTGCTGTTGCTTCGTTAATAATCTGTGATCGTTTGCAAATCAGCAGTATTTGTCGTGCTATTGACGCGGTACTCTTGACCTATTTGAATAAATAATAAATCGATACTCCAATTTAAAATAATCCAACACCAGCCACGCACTGATTTGGTGCACCAACTGTATGCGTGTGTGCGTGTGTGTATGTGAAATTGCGTTTAATCGTTGCCGAAAAAAAATTCTATCATTCCGGAAATTTTTTCTCATTCTCTAAGTGTATATTCCATTTTTCATTTGTCTCTCATTCACACTCCGTACGAATTACAATCGCTTTTAGAGAATCATGATAATTCGACACTTATGCCGTTCGTTCAATGATTTTTTGCCGGATTTCATAATCGATTCATGTCTGTTGCGTAGTAAAGACGTTTCTATTTCGGCAATGCTTTTATTTGAATCCGTTTGCTTCGGATTTGCTTTAGTTTCATCATATAAACTATATCAACTTTTCAATGTGTTTTTCTTTTCGGAAATTCCAAAGAAGAAATCAATTCAAGTGATGACGAAAACGAACAATGAAGTGCTCAGCATTGCTTTGCATCATGGTGTCAATGCCGAGGGTCAATTATATCGATTGAAACGTGGAACGAAGTTACGACTTGTACCCGCGCCCAACCTACTCGGACGCAGCGTTGCACTCTACTGCAACTATCCGGTTACAGGTAGCGATACTGATGGTGTGTATATGTTTTGTTTTATCATGTTTTTAATACGATCGCTTTTTTGATCGAAAAACAGTATGAAAATGGTGAATTAAACTAACTAAACTAGTAACTAACGAAAATTATATTCTGTGTCATTTGATATTAAAATTGTTATAACATTAATCGAAAGTTTTTAATTCACTGTAAATAAAACGAAGTTAAATGTTTATAGTTTTCCTTTGGTTTTCATGCCTATGGAAATGTAAAAAAAAATTCGTAAAAAACTCATAGTGTGAGAACCTTTGATTGCGGTCTCAAATAAAAAGAATTAAAAATATTATTGCAGAGAAAGCTGAATTCATCCGAAATCAATACCTACATTTGAATTGGTACAGTCGTGATGGAAAGAAACTCAGTGATGGTTTGCATCCATATACACAAATCACCGATCTGAATACACATTGTGAACTTGAACTAAATCGATCCGGCACATTTCATTTTTACTTCATTTACGACACCAAGTAATTTAGCCCATCATTCGTATATTGAGCGAAAGTTTTATTATTAATATTATTTTTCTAACGACGCACTTGTTTTAGTAATGAACGTAAAAAGCATCAAGGATCACTGTACATTCAAGTGGAACCAAAAATCACTGTCGGTACACAAAAGAGTAGCAAAGATATTCCATTGGATTCGATTCGTTGTCAAACGGTTCTATCAAAATGTTTGGGACCACTATCAACATGGGAGAAAAAATTAATTGTTGCCAAAAACTCTGGCTACAATATGATTCATTTCACACCGATTCAGGTAAACATGTTAAATTTATAAAATATTCTCATACAGAAAAATATTCAAAAAAAAAAATTGCACAATATTCGAAAATAGGAACTTGGAGACTCAAAATCAGCATACTCATTGAAGAATCAATTAAAACCAAATCCCGATTTTAACGATGTTCCGATCAATGGAAAACTCAATAAAAATGCAACATTCGAAGCCATCGAAAAAGTGATCAAAAAAATGCGTACCGAATGGGGTGTCACATCGATTTGTGACATTGTATTGAATCATACTGCCAACGAATCGGAATGGATTCATGAACATCCAGATGCAACATATTCATGTCTTACAATGCCACATTTGCGTCCGGCATTTTTATTGGATGTCGTTTTTGGTTGGGTTACACGTGATGTATGTGCAGGCAGTTTGGAAAATGTTGGCGTACCACCACTCGTCGAAACAGAGGATCATATTCAATCGCTACGTCATCACATTCACACCACATATCTATCGAAAGCAAATCTACCGCAATTCTATCAGTGTAATATTGAAAAGTATGTGCAATTATTTAGCGAAAAGGTAAAAAAAAATCGAAAAAAAATCATTTGACAAAAAATTCATTAATGTTATTGTATTTTTTAGATTCGTACTGGAAAGCCACCAACGGCCAGTAATGCTGTACATGAAGAGGAGTTGGTCTTAATTCAAGATTTGGAATACAAACGTCTTGGAACGACCATCGATTTCGATTATGCATTGGCAAAATACAATGTTTTCCGATCGGATTCATTCGATGAGGATACACGTCGACGCAAGTGTATCGAAGCATTCCGATCGAAATTGGAACAATTGAATGAGGACGTTCGACAAGAGATACAAGGTTTTTTGGACTATGGTGTTGAGAATGCATTGGCTGGTGTACGATACGAACGTGTACAAGGCGATGGACCACGTGTACGTGTTAATGATAACAGTCATCCATTGTTTAGCCGATATTTTACGCCAGATGAAAAGAATCTAACGTTCGATGAGTATGAGAAATTGATTTATACCGATAAAGGAAAACAATTTATGGCGCATAATGGATGGGTTATGAGCGCAGATCCATTAAATGATTTTGCATTGCCACAAACAGGCAGAGGTAATGTTTACATCAAACGTGAATTGATTGCATGGGGTGACAGCGTTAAATTGAGATTTGGTGAGAGACCCGAGGACAGTCCATATTTATGGAATCATATGCGAAAATATGTGGAGACAACGGCACGCATTTTTGACGGTGTCCGTTTGGATAATTGTCATTCGACACCATTGCACGTTGCTGAATATATGCTTGACTGTGCCCGTAGAATCAATCCGGAATTATATGTTGCAGCCGAATTGTTCACCAATTCAGATCATACTGACAACATTTTTGTCAATCGATTGGGCATCACATCGTTGATTCGAGGTTTGTTACGTCGTTCATTCGTTTTTTTCGTTGCATTTCTTTAAAAAAAAATGATGGCTTTTTCTTTGCCTTCTTTTTGTACAGAGGCAATGTCGGCTTGGGATTCACACGAAGAAGGACGTCTGGTGTATCGATATGGTGGCGCTCCAGTTGGTGCATTCTACAATAATCTCAAACGTCCACTTGCATCCGGTATTGCTCATGCGCTATTTTTAGATTTGACCCATGATAACCCGTCGCCGATTGAGAAACGGTCAGTTACAATACACAAATAAATTATCATCACTTTGTTCAATGATTTTTCGTATTACTTTTAAATGATCTTTCGTCACGAACATTGTACTGGACTTTTCTATTGTTGTTGTTGAATTTCAGATCCGTATTTGATTTACTTCCATCTGCCGCATTAGTGTCAATGGCATGTTGTGCGACTGGCAGCAATCGAGGATATGACGAACTTGTTCCACATCACGTATGTGTCGGCATTTTATCATTTAATCTCAAACCATTTTTCATTGATAATTTCGATTAAGGATTTCATTGGAATGTTTGGCAACACATTTTTGCACTCACAAAAACTAATAAAAAATTTTCAACAAACAGATTCACGTGGTCAATGAGGAAAGACAATATCAAGAATGGGAGAATGGTGTTGATTTCAAATCTGGAATTATCGCTGCAAAACGTGCTTTAAACCATTTACACGGTGAATTAGCCGAAGCTGGTTTTAGTCAAGTTTTCGTTGATCAAATGCATCCAGATATTGTAGCGGTGACTCGACACAATCCAATAACGCATCAAAGTGTAATTTTAGTTGCGCACACTGCATTCAGTAAACCGCATCCAAATGCTGGACCAACTGGCGTTCGACCATTAGTATTTGAGGGTTTATTGGATGAAATTATTCTTGAAGCTGAACTTACGCACAAGTGAGTTTCCAGTGCAAATTCGCTTTCAACTGTTCACTTTTGGTAATAACATACTGCCTTTTTTTCCCTCTAAAATTTTATTCATTCCTAGTGGATCGGGTAAATTATATGATCAATTCTCGAATTTCGTCAAGAATAAAAAGTATATCAATGGCCTTGACGAATATGAATTGAACATAAGCGAGCACATCCCATTAACTGAATCAAATATATTTGATCATAAAACGTATAAAGATGGAAATCGTACGCAATTGAACTTTTTGAACTTAAGACCCGGCAGTGTCGTCGCTGTTAAGTAAGTTTCTCGCCAATTCTCTTATCGCACAATTTGAAAAACATAAAAGAAAAATTCTATGCATTTATAATGAATTAACATGTCATTTTTGTGCTTTTGAATAATTAATAGAGTATCGCTGTATAAAGAGACAAAACCGCAATTGGATCAAGTGGATGAGCTGATAAAATCGTTCCAAAACGAAACTGGACCCAAATACGATGAATTGAAGCAAATCATTTCGAAATTGGACTTGAACGATTTGAATCGTGCGATTTATCGATGTGATCAGGAGGAACGTGACATGGGAATGGGTTCGGGCAGTTACGATATTCCCGACTATGGACCATTGGTATATTGTGGAACACAAGGTTTTGTATCGGTTTTAACCGAAATCACACCCAATAACGATCTTGGCCATCCATTTTGCAATAATTTGCGACAGGGCAATTGGATGATTGATTATATTCATGAACGTCTTGCAAAACATCCAAACACCGTCAATTTATCGAAATGGTTTGCCGATAATACAGAAGCACTGAAACAAATTCCAAGATACTTGATACCAAGCTATTTTGATATTATTGTAACTGGCGTACATCAACTACTTGTGGATCATGCCATTCAATTGATGTCACCGTGAGTAAAATCACCTTATAACCTCCATTTCAACAGCAATGACGTGTCGTTTTTTTCTCTCTTTCGAATGTAGATTCATTCGCAATGGAAGTGGTTTCGTGAAAGATTTGGCGCTCGGCTCCGTTCAATGTGTGGCTATTTCAAATTCAGCCGATTTACCGAAATTAAGTCCAAAAGTGTCAGAGCCAAAACCATCATCACGATGCCCAACACTTTCGGCTGGTCTTCCTCACTTTTCGACTGGATACATGCGGTGTTGGGGCCGTGACACATTCATTGCATTGCGCGGTTTGCTTTTGTTAACCGGACGCTACGATGAGGCTCGATATATTATTCTAGGCTTTGCAGCATGCTTACGGCATGGTTTAATTCCAAATTTATTGGACAATGGAACAAAACCACGTTTCAATTGTCGTGATGCAATTTGGTGGTGGTTGTATAGCATCAAAGATTACGTTTATGAAGCACCAAAAGGTCATGCCATACTCAATGAACCGGTTTCACGTCTCTTCCCAACCGATGATTCAGATGCCAAACCAGCCGGCGAATGTGTAAGTATAGGTTTTTTTATCGAAATTCAAAAAGGAAAATGTCAATAATCAATTGCCCTTTGCAGGATCAACCTCTTCACCAAGTGATTCAAGAAGCGCTGAATATACACTTCCAAGGATTAGTTTTTCGCGAACGAAATGCTGGCCCGGATATAGATGCTCATATGAAAGATCAAGGTTTTAACAATCAAATTGGCACAAATCCAAATACCGGATTTGTGTTCGGAGGCAATGAAGCAAATTGCGGCACATGGATGGATAAAATGGGATCGTCAGACAAAGCTGGAAATCGTGGCATTCCGAGTACACCACGCGATGGTTCAGCCGTTGAAATTGTCGGCTTACAATATGCTGGATTAAGATTTTTACAAAAATTGGCTGAATCGCAGTTGATTCCATACGATTCGGTCGAACGTAATGGCAAAAATGGTGACAAAACCGCTTGGACATTCAAAAAATGGGCTGATTTAGTTCAAGCCAATTTTGAAAATGAATTCTATACCACACCGGAAATGGGATCATTGGTTAATAAAGTTGGAATTTACAAAGATTCAGTTGGTGCATCACAAGCATGGGCCGACTATCAATTGAGATGCAATTTCCCAATAACAATGGTCGCTGTAAGTATTAAAGTCTCAACATTTCTTTTAAATGAATGGAAAAATAATTTTTTGTTTTCACTTCCATAGGCACCTGATTTATTCGATCCAAAGCACGCTTGGAATGCATTGGAAATGGCCAAAAAATACTTGCTCGGTCCGTTGGGTATGAAAACACTTGATCCAGAAGATTGGGGATATCGCGGCAACTATGATAACAGTAACGATTCGGATGATGCAAAAGTCGCACACGGTGCCAACTATCATCAAGGACCGGTTTGTTATTTTAAACATTTTTCTTTAAACAACCACCACTCACATTTTTATTCGTTTAGGAATGGGTATGGCCAATCGGATTTTATTTGCGTGCACGTTTGATTTTTGCTGAAAAGAATAATTGCCTGAAAGAAACAATCGCCGAAACTTATTCAATTTTGATGACACACTTACGTGAAATTGAAACATCACATTGGCGAGGTTTGGCCGAATTAACAAATGAAAATGGTAGCTATTGTTCGGATTCGTGCCGAACACAAGCATGGAGCATGGCAACCGTTTTGGAGGTACTCAATGATCTAAATAAATTTCAAGTTGCAAGCAAGAACAACAAATAAGCATATAACACATTAGTCAATTAATAAGAGTAATACTAAATGAAAGAAAAAAAAATAATCATTCAACACTATTCTTGTCATTGTTAAAAATATTGCATATATTCAAAGTCATTTATATATTTTTTTTTATTTATTAAGTATGTAAGTGTTTGTTACGAAAATTATTTTGGCATGACATTTTGTAGAAAATATGAATTTAGCTTTGAGATTTAAATTGTTTAAACAGAAACCATTCAAATATTTTGAATCACAGTCATCTAATTTTGTGTACCAAATCATTGAAACGGATTTTACAACTGTAAATATTTATATTATGCAATTCGCAAAACTATTGAAAAGTGAACAGAATAGGGAATTAAAAATTTGAATGTAATTGTTTTGTGAATAAAAAAAATTCACACAAATCATAAATAGTGTTGTGTTCCTTTTTACAACAAAATGACATACATCTTTGAACGAGAAGTTTACAATGATGTAATACTTTTTTTTAATTTC